GTAAACCTTTAAAAAATAAGAACCAATGATCTGAAACCAAGTATGCCAGCCAAGGCCACCACTATTGGGATTCAATGAATCTGAACAAGATTCCAAGGCGAGTGAATGATTTTGATTCCTAGCCCAGGGGGCAACCTCTTGCCATAAGCAACAAGCACCCTGAACAAATTAACCATGGGGTTTTTATAGTAAGAGATTCAAAAACTTCGTGACAGTGAGTAAGTACATCATTAGGAGCTAACAATGACACAGAACAGAAAGTATGTGATAGAAATTGACAATGTATAGGTTGGGGATCCTGATCATATCACTTCAATGTAGACAGTAATAAAGCAGCATGCCTCGAAGGCAGCTGTCTTTCCCGTAAATCTAAACCTCCAAGATTCTCCCTATCTCCTGCCTGCCTGCTGGAGTTTCAGGAAGCTGGAGCTTTTTCTCGTAACAGCATGCAGGTGTCTCTGGAGATTCCAGACTTTCAGGAACACAGTCACCTTTACAATTAGCCCTTTTAACCACCAATGATTCATCTGGCTGGGGTCCAGCCAGTGTCCCCTCGACACCATCCAGTCATAATTCACATTCTCCCAAAACCCAGGTCCCCAAGAGGGTTAGCACAGAGCTAGTGACACCCTGGCCACACTCTGATAAACACTCATGTCCTGCGTCCCAAGAACCCCACGCAACAGGTTCTCTCATCCCCACAATAACCCAGACTGTGAGTGTCTTCATTTCGCAGATAAGAAAACTGAGTCCCCGTTTGGCAGGGACGTAGAGGAGTTTGGAGGTTTCCTATGGTCACCCACCAAGTTCCGATGCAATCAGCCTGCTGACATGTCTGTGCTCGCCGCAGCTGCCCTGCTGCCACGCGACAGCCGACCCTCCGAGTGGAGGAGAAAGGCTGCTGGTCCCTGTCTCCTCCCCCAAGAGAACAGGGTCTCCTGTGAGGACCAGGAGCTGGGTGTGCTCAGCCGCAGCGTGCGCACTGAACAGTAAGACGCCCTCTGCAGGCAGATGCGCGCATCGCTTCCCACAGAAAGGCTCAGGCCACCAATGGGTAAGGCATAACCCCATCCTTAAAACACTGGTAGGATGCATCTTGACACCGCTCCAGGTGTCCTTAACTTAACTTCGCAGCCCTGCGAGGCTACTGCTAATCATTCACTTAGAAAGCTGACAACCTTTCCAACTGACTTGGCAAATAGGAGGCACACCTACCCGGCAGGCCTGAGGCATGGGGTCACTGCACCAGCGGCCTCTCTGCACACTGAAGCCTCTGGAGGTACCACAAGGAGCCTCTTGTTCTGTGGTTACCCCCAGGGGACGCAAAGAAAGGAGCCACCTGATACCCTCTAAGCCAGATGCCTTTCCTGATTAAACAAAACCTTTCTAATACAAAGGTCTTATGTAAACGTGTGTGTGTGTGTGTGTGTGTGTGTGTGTGTGTGTGTGTGTGTGTGTGTGAGTGTGTGTGAGTGAGTGTGTGTGTGTGTGTGAGTGTGTGAGTGTGTGTGTGTGTGTGTGTGTGTGTGTGTGTGTGTGTGTGTGTGAAGCCAGCCCTGAGGGGGCGGAGGGCATAGAGAGAGTTCAGGAACTCTTTGCTGCCGCACCAGCCATCGGGGAGACCCGCCCAGGGGACTGTGGGAGGACTTGGAAGCTGAGAAGGAAATGAGGAGGACGAGTTTCCACCACCCCTTCTACAGTTGGTGGCTGGGAGGGTCGAGCATGCAGCAGCGTCCCTGGGGAGCCTCAGGGAGACACGGCCCCAGCCCTTGGGAGTGGTGGGCGGAGGAGGACACCGAGAACTTGCATTCCCAGCAAGTCCCCAGCATGCTGCTGGCCATGGCCATACCCACACCCACAGCCCTGTGCTTCACCTGCAGGCAGTGCTGAGCGATTTACCACCCCATGACCTAGCCTCATCCGATGCCCCCTCCTTTACCCCCAAAACAAGTGGCCAGGCACCAGAGGGGCACTACACCCCTTTATCACTGGGGGAAAATGCAATAACTTAAGTGGCTTAGGGAGCAGGAAGAGGGGTACACCAGTATCAACTTCCCCTACACACCCCACGAACCCTAGCCCAGCCCCCCTCCTGGCTGCCTCACCCACCAAAATTCAGCCACACAGGACTTCTTCCCACCCTGGGAACACCAAGCCCGTTCCCAGCCAAAGCCCCTACAATTACACTCTGCCCCTGGCTCCTCCTCAGATTTCTGGTGTGGGTTCAAACAGCAGAGACCCCCACTTGGCCACTGCATCTGCAGCAATCGCTGCTCCCCACCCGTATTGACCCACCCAGCAGCCACTAACTACCAGGGCCAATGTTTAGGTCAGTTAGGTGCTAAGATCCACAGCATGTGATCAATAATCACACACCATTGGTTATGCACTGGGCAGGGGGCACGTGGAACATTCCTACCATCAGAGCTGTGGACTGCAGGGCAGCCTTCCCACCCTCGCTCAAGGCCATGTCGTGTGTGTGTGTGTGTGTGTGTGTGTGTGTGTGTGTCTCCGGAAGCAACATCTCTGCGTGTCTCATCTTTTGATTCATCCTCCAGGAAACCAAAAGGGTTGAGAGCACACAGTTCTCCCCAGCAGACCTGGGTCCCAGGCATCCCCAAAATGCAAGTGCCCCGTGCCTCCTGGTCTTGCCACACTCCACAAACCCTGAAACCCAGGGGCTTGCCAGGGAATCAGGAGGCCCAGGCCAGTGTCTGCCCCCTCCTGCCTCCAGCATGCTTGCCAGTGTTGCTCTCCCGCCACTCTTACGTGAGTTTGCACTCTTCTGTTCTTGTTGGAGGGTGTTTGTTGGATTGCACTGGTGATGGAGAGTTGTCTTCTAGTCTTGGAAGCAGAAGGTGATATAAAGAAAAAAGCAAGTGATAAGGAAAACGAGTGAGGGAGTGAGCAAGGAACCCAGGAGGGCTGGCCTTCGACCCAGGAGAGTGCAGCCAATGCCTGGAAAAAGAAGTAGTGGAATGGGTCTAGGGGGAGGGGATGGCCTATGGTTCAGCCATGGCAAGCGCTTGCTAGGGCTCTGGAACCCGGCTCCAACACAGAGTGCCGGACGCCATCCAGTGGCCACTATGGAGATTGCAGGAGAAGGGAGCAGGTGCCAGAACTCCAGAGGAGACAACGGTGGCCAGTGCCCCAGGGCAGGGCAGGAGGGCTCTCTGTGCCCCCATCAACTGAAAATGCTATCCTAGTATCAGCCTCCACAGGTCTCTGCCTTCCTGGTCCAGCTGGCACTTCCTCACTCTGAGGTTTTGGGGAGGCAATTCTATCCCCCAGACCTCAGGTCCCCCAAAACGCAAAAGAGAAGGGTCAGGCAATGGTGCCCAACAGCTGATGTGATTCTTACACCCAGGTAACAGCCAGACAACCCAGTCACTCCTGAGCACATACACGTGTGCATCACTCACCTGTGAAATCCCAGCCTTGACCTCTTTCCCAGTATCTGCCTTACACCCCCCCCCCACACACACACACACCCCTGCCCTTTGCTCCACCCTCCCCTATCATGCTCCCTCCTGCACCTGCTGCTTCAGCCCCTCCAGCTCAGCCCCAGGAATTTCTTTCCCTTCACCAAGCCTCGCAAGGCACACAGATGTGTCTAACAGCTCGGAAGCTGGCCCCCAAGAGCCCCACATCTTAAGCCCCTGGAACCTGTGAGGGCATTACCTTACATGACAACAAAATGTGGTTTTGCACGTGTTGCTAACATGGGGAAGCTTTACATGGGAGAGATTGCTCAACATGGTTCAGTCTTAAGATCGCAAGTGTCTTCACCAGTCACATATAAGAGAGCTGGAGACAGACAGGGGCAGGCGGGAGTGGTGTGGGACCACAGGCTCAGGAACTCTGGCAGGCTCACGTCGCTGCGACAGGGCAGGGCACAGAAGCCCCCAGCACATGGCAGTGCCAAGACCTGCACTGCTGACCTTCAGAACTGTGTGGTCATGGACAAGGATTGTCTAAGCCACTCGATTCAGGGGAAGCCTTCGCAGTAACCACATCTGGTGCAATTTCCCGCGAATACCACGGGTTTGAGAAACTGACTCAAACCTGGCTAAGTAAGGTGACAAAGGTACTAATTCTCACCTCCCAGGGTTGTGGTAAAAAGGTGAAAATAGGTCTGAATAACTTGGAAGACTGTCCCAGACTAAATAGAATAGTTGGTGAAAATGACAGACAACTAGCATCAGCCAGGCCCAGACAGCTCCAAGGTAGCCCTGAGTGGCTGACAAGGATGTCTGTGATATCCCCCATCATCCCGGGTGGGTACAGGTCGGCAGAGGAGCTGCTAACTTTCTCCATTCCGTACACGAGAAAGCCCGAGCTGCAGCCATGCACGTTGTCTGCCCTGGGCTGAGGGAGGAGTGGATGGGGGGGAGTGGTCTGGGATGCGGTGGGAGTGAGCGGCAGAGCTGCGGCCACAGGCTGAGCAGAGAGACATCCAGCCAGACATCCCAGCTATTCTAGTCCAGGTGCATTCCGTCTACTTGTCTCCCCAGCCCCCAACTGCATCTGCTTAGAGGCCAGGCTACCGCTTCCCACCCCCTTGGCAGCTCCGGAGCCAGTCTGGGGGCACCACGAGGGGAGAGGACCGGCGCTCAGACCCCTAGGGGCTCGCTCAGACCCCCGTAGTTCCCGGCTGAGCCCCCTCCCTTCCGCGACTCGTATAAGGAGATGTCTGTTCTCGCTTGGGTAAACAAGGGGCGGGAGGCCACACAGCATCCCAGCTCCCCACCCTGGCGCGACCCCCGGCACAATGCGCCTTTCTGCGCCCAGACGCCACCGGAGGCGCCGCCGGCGCGCTCGCTACGTCTAACCTCCCGTCCCCCTAGCGGCACAGCAAGATCCATAAACCAGCTTGGTTTTGTTTTGTTTTTAAAGAAAATGAAAACAAACAAAAAAAGTAAGCCCAACAAAGTACTGGCCACAGCACGTGCCCCCCACCCTCCCCACCCCTACCCTTGGCGCCAGCCGGGCGAGGCCAGACCCGAGCGCAACGCCGGGACCCCGCCGGCGCTTCCTGCCGGGCACTCCATGCCCAGGGACCCGGGTTCGGCCTCGCGCTGCTGCCCCGATGGCGCGCAAGAGGCACCGTTGGCGGACATGTGCCTCCTCCCCCGGCGGCCCTCACTTCTGGCTGCCCATCACGTTCTCCAGGTTCTCCAGGCGCACGGAGAGCTGGGCCAGTGAACGTATTAAGGAAACCACAGGTGGCGTGGGGAACCCTTCCCTTCCCTCCCGCTGCTGTCCACGCCCACCCACTCCCCAGCACTGCCCCAAAGGATATACTTCTGTGTCAGGCTGTCTAGTGTCCCCAGCGTGCGACCCTGGAACTCCACCAGGCTTTCACAGTCACAGGGACTCCGAAGCTCTGTCCCGGCACCGATGCCCTCCTCTGTAAGCCGTGCGCAAGGTCAGGGGAACAGAGAAGCCGGGAGGGCGGGGCTAGCCCTGACCTTAACCCTCCGAGTCACCTCCACCAGGGCCTGTGCTAGGCTGGGAGAGTTTTGGGTTCCAGCTGAGTTCCAGCCTAGTAGGTGTGAGGTACTGGAAAGCCACTTTAACGTGGCTAAACTTGTTTGCTCATCTGTGAAGTGGGTAAAATGAGAAGCTGTCCTCATGGGTGTGTTCAAGGATTTGGTAATTGTGCGTGGGTGCATGCGTTCACAGCCCACAGAACTGCCTGGCAAGCCTGCGTTTCCCCTGGGGTCATCATGAGGGCTTGTTAACAGGGCAGTAGTGATGGAGAATGGAGAGGAATGGAGCGGCGTTCCTAATGTCCTCCCAGGGGACGCTGTTGCTGCTGCCCAGGACGGTCAGGGCTCCTCACAGGAAACCACCTGTCCTCACGCAGGAGCTGTGAGCCACGCGTGGCTGTTAACACTTGAAACGTGGCTGGGCTGGCTGAAGAACTTTTTTTTTTGTTCCATTTTTATTTTAATGAAGCAGGTGCAGGTGGCCACGACTACCTGGTTGGATAGCACAGCCCTTGAACACTGCCCAGCACGGGTGTGTTTCAAGGAGATCAGTGGCTCTCGGAGTGTGGCCCCTGGACCAGCAACAGCAGCAACAAGGCACTTAGCAGAAATGTGGATTATCAGACAGCACCCCAGACCTACTAGCTCAGAGAGGATGGGGCTGGAACCGATAATCTAGACTTCTACAACCCTCCCTCCAGCTGTGGGCATCAGGCCTCATGACTGAGCTGCTAACTGGGATGCCAAAGACCCATGTCCACATGCCTGGGGCCAGTGCCTGGCTCCAGGTCCTGATTCCAACTTCCTGCTAGTGAAGATCCTGAAAGGCAGCATTCTCTCTCTCTCTCTCTCTCTCTCTCTCTCTCTCCCTCCCACATAAAATATTGACAAATTTAGCACCCTGCAAATGACTGATGCCTACCACTGTTTAAACCACTGCTTTAAGGCTACATCCCCACCCATTTCAACATGGCACGGGTGGGGTGGGAGGAACCTAACAAACTTGGCACTGTCTAAATTAGTGGGGAATGTTATAGTCGGCAGTCTCCTATAGTCAAACGTTCTCTAAGAGTGTGCCGTTGCTGAGTGTAGGTGGTGAAGGATAAGCAACTGGCCTTCAGTAAGGAGAGAACCATGTACTATAAAGGTTACCTGGTGGTCTGACATGCACCCTGAGCAAGCTGGCATTCACATGGTATTTGGGGTGTGGCGTTGCTAACACTTGCCCAACTTCACAGGTGGGGGAGCCAGGAGTCAGTGACTAGGGGGAGTCTGCCCAGGGTCATGCGCTCAGCTGCTGAGATGCCTCAGTCACAGGAACCAGGCCTCCTCCAGCAGCCAGCACGATCCCCACCGACAGAAGAGAGTCGGTGAAGGGGAGGGTTCTGTGACTTGGCTGAGGTCACGCCATGAGGGGTATCAGAGTTAGAATGGGAAGGACTTTACTGTATCCTGGCTGATCGTTAGAGTCAGCTTGAGTAGAACAGTGTGTGTGAGAGAGAGAGAGAAATTCTGCAGAACCTGGTATTCCCAAAAGAAGAGTCACATCTTACTCCTGGCTTACAGTGGTAAAAATGCCAACCCCTGCCACCCCCAGTCGGTGGGTGCACATGGCTCGCAGGCCCCTTTCCCTCAGCTGAGCCCCACGTGAAGGCGACAGCTTGTATTGATGACCCACATGCTCATCAAAGCTCATCAAAGCTGCCTGTGTGTGTGCTTATGCTCGGCTCAGCCCACTTTGCCCTGTCGGCACACTGAATGAATTCCAGCAAGCTGAAGGGGCACAGGCTGCCTCTCGCTCACAGTCACTGACTTTGGGGAGATCTGCCCGGATTATGACTCACTGCTCTGGGGTCCTAGGAGCCTGGTCTAACCTTCTGAAGCATTCCTGTGTGCACGAATCACCTGCAGCCTGCAGATGCTCATGCGTTAGGCCTGGGCAGGCTGGGAACGCTGTATCCGCTTTCCGCACTAAAGAGGGCGCCCTGGTAACTGGGTTGTGGCTTGCGAGCCCGGTCCCTGGCTGTAACCCTAGGAGGTGCTGGGGAGGCGGGGCATACAGAGAGGAGAAAGGGGCGGGCAGCCAGAGCCTCTAGAGGGATGTGCTCACCCGGGCAGATGCTGCCTTTGAGATTCTCCAACAGGTGCGTCATGGTGTTGAAGTCGGGCGAGTACGACACGTGCAGCTCAGCGGGCTCCGAGGCGATGGTGCGCAGCTCCTCCTCCACCGCCTTGCCCACGCCCACCGCGTACATGACGATGCCTGCGAGGAGGGCGGGGAGGCTAGGGTGCTCAGATGGCGCCCCCAAAGCCCGAGAAAGCCGCAGCCACGGTTCCAACCCAAGTCCTTGTGCCAAACCTACCTTCCTCCTTGGCGCGCGCTGCCCACACCGAGATGTCATCCTGGGAGCGGCCGTCGGTGAAGACCAGGCCCACGCGAGGCACGTGGAGAGCGCGGGGGCGCGCGCCCTGCGCCTCGGAGAAGCTGTGCTCCACCATGTGTCGCAGCGCCAACCCGGTCATGGTCCCTCGCTCCATGTACTCCACGGCCAGGACCGCCTGCTTGATCTCGGCCGCGGTGCCGTAGCGGCCCAGCGGAAACTCAGTGCGCACGCGGCTGGAGAACTGTACCAGCCCCACGCGCGTGCCCTCGGGAGACACGTCCAGGAAGTCAACGATCTGGTTCACGAAGCGCTTCACCAGCTCAAAGTTCTGCGGGCGCACGCTCTTGGAGCCATCCACAAGCAGAACCAGGTCCACGTGACCTTCGTGGCACCCTGCGGGGCGAGAAGCGCCTGGTGGAGGGAGGAGAAGCGCCTGGATGAGACCCTTGGGCGGCAGCAGCCATCTCCATACCTAAGTCGTTCATTGTCATTCACGTTTATCCCGGAGGGATGTGGCTCCTGGAATCCCTGCCTATCAGGAAGGATGCTAAATCGCCATCCACCACCATCATCATCATCACCTTAGCCTTTGACGGTTACCTAGTGCTGAACACAAACCGGACACTGTAATGAAAGCATCTTTTTGAAAAATAGTGACAGTGGCTGACACTGTGGCAGCGTAAGTTAAGCATCCACCTGCAATGAGGGACCCCATTTGAGTCCCAGCTACCCCACTTCCCATCCAGCTCTCTGTTAATGGCCTGGGAAAACAGTGAGAATGGTCCAAGTACTTGGGTCCCTACACCCACGTGGGAGACCCATAAGAAGCTTCTTGCTCCTGGCTTCAAACTGGCCTAGTTCTGGGCCATTGTGGCCAGATCTACCTCAATATCTCTTCTCTCTAAATCTACTCTTCAAATATAAATAAGTAAATCTTTTTTAAAATAATCATCAACATGGTAGCTACCATTCACTCAGCATCTACTGTGTATCCAGCATGGTCCTAAGCCCTGGGCCTGTGTGTTAGTGATAGTCATAAGGCCCTAGGCTCTGCCCCTGGGGGGGGGGGGCGCTCAGGAGTTAAGGTGTCACTTGCACCCCTTCAGTACCTGGGTTCAAGTCCCAGCTCTGCCTCCTGGTCCAGCTCTCTGCTAATGCACACTCTGGGAGACAAAAAGTGCTGGCTCTGGTACTTGAACCCCCTGCCACCCATGTGGCCGACCAAGATTTCATTCTGGGCCCCTGCTTTGACTCGGCCCCACCTTCGCAGGTGCATTTAAGGAATGAACCAACCAATAGACCATTTTACTCCATCTATGTCTGTCTTTCTGCCTTTCTTTTGTTTCTTCTTTTTTTTTCAGATTTACTCTTTTTTTTTTTTATTGGAAAGGCATATCTACAGAGAGAGACAGAAAGATTTTCTTTCTGTTGGTTCATTCCCCACGTGGACGCAACAGCTGGAGCTGAACCCATCCAAAGCCAGGGGCCAGGGGCCTCTTCCGGGTTTCCCACATGGGTGCAGGGTCCCAAGGCATTGTGCCATCTTCTACTGCTTTCCCAGAGCACAAGCAGGAAGCTGGAAAGGAAGTGGAGCAGCCGGGACATGAACTGGCACCCATATGGGATCTCAGCACATGCAAGGTGAGAATTTAGCCACTGAGCCACCACACCAGGCCCATGTCCGACTACCTTTCAGACAAATGGGAACATGTCCATCCCTATCAGAAATAAGCGGCTGCAGGTGCCGCTGGGATGCAGCTTCTTTAGGGTAAATCTGATGAGGTGCGTCTCTGCACGCAGAGTCTTTGGCGGCAGGTTAAAGAAGCTGCTTCCTGCAGAAGTGCAGGGGGTGCCATTCATGAGGACACTGCACCTGTCAGCACCAGGACCTTGGCCAAGCTGACCTCCAGAACCGTGAGCCACAAATGTTATAGAAGCCACTTGGCCTGTACTATTTTGCTGCAGGAGCCCGAGTAGACCGGGACAATCTTGAAGGCTGACCAGGTGCTTGGCACAAAGAACATTCTAGAAAGGGGGGCAGCATGTGCAGAGATGGGGGCTGGGAAGCTAGTGACCAGAAGGAGGAGAGCATGTACTACAATGTGCACGTGTGACAGGTGACAGACCGATGGCATGGCCGAAGTTAGACTGTGATGAGCTAAGGTGCTGGTTTCAAAATCTTGACCACAACTCACAGCTAAACACATTAAGATGACAACATGATCCACCTCAGCTGGCCACCTGGAATTAAATTTAACTTTTTATTTTTAATTTAACTTTCACAAAGCAATGTTTATCCTAAGGACCACTTGCATTCTGTTTGTAACCAACACTCCTGTGTTATCACTAACGCCCTTGTGTTATCACTAATGTGATTGTGTCGGCCACGCACTTGAAAAGCGCAAGGGGGCAGTATCTGACTTCTACCCCTTGGGCTCTGGGGAGTCACTGAGCAACTCTGAGCAAAGGAGGAGTGCTAGGAAACGTGGATTAAAAAAAAAAAAAAAAAAAGCGTTGGAAGCAGAAAAATTGAAGGGAAAGAGATGGAGGGAGAGCACACAGCACACCCCCAGCCTTCCCCCACACCCACATTCACACCATGTCCTTGGGCCAAGGCAAGGACAAAGTCAAGGGTGCCCAGTGTGTGGCCAGCTGAACCGCCTCCCCTACCCCGGGCATGACTCACGGGTGCAGCTCTTGCCATCCGCCTGGAGCTGCCAGCCCTCGGGACACAGGCAGCGATAGGTGAGGCCCTCGCTCACACACTCAAACTCACAGCCATGGTCCACGCCATTGCAAAGGTCACGGACTGGGAGAAGAGAAGGGTCAGAGTGAGTGAGTTGACCCTCCCTATGGGGAGCCCCTGTTCCTCCCCCATACATGCAGGAGACCCCTCCTCACTGCGGCAGCTCCTCCCATCGGGCAGCAGGTCATGCCCCTCTCTGCAGTGGCATCGAGGCCCCTGGAGGGTACTGACACACTCGTGCTGGCAGCTATGGTTCCCCCAGCTGCAGTGGTCAACAGCTGGTGGGAGGAAAGAGATTGCAAGAAATATTATCTTGGGCCCAGCACAGTAGCCTAGTGCCGGAATCCCATATGGGCACTGGTTCTAATCCCAGCTGCTCCACTAACCATGCAGCTTCCTGCTTGTGACCTGAGAAAGCAGTCAAAGATAGCCCAAAGCCTTGGGACCCTGCACCCATGCAGGAGACCTGGAAGAGGCTCCTGGCTCCTGGCTTTGGATGGGCTCAGCTGTGGCCATTGCGACCACTTGGGGAATGAACCAACAAATGGGTCTATGGCCATACCACCTTTTTAAAAAAAAAAAAAAAAAAAGAATTATTTATTTTTATTGGAAAGGCAAATATACAGAAAGGAGGAGAGACAGAGAGGAAGATCTTCCATCCGATGGTTCACTCCCCAAGCGACCGCAACGGCTGGAACTGAGCCAATCTGAAGCCAGGAGCCAGGAGCTCTTCCAGATCTCCCACAGAGGTGCAGGGTCCCAAGGCTTTGGGCTATCCTCGACTGCTTTCCCAGGCCACAAACAAGGAGCTAGATGGGAAGTGGGGCCACCGGGATTAGAACCAGTGCCCATATGGGATCCCATTGCAAGGCAAGGACCTTAACCACTACACCATTGCGCCAGGCCGGGCCTCGCTATACCACCTTGAACGCACCCAATCTGGTCTGAACCAACAGATGGAAGATCTTTCTCTCTGTCTCTCCTCTCTTTGTACATCTGCCCTTCCAATGAAAATAAATAAATTTTAAAAAGAAAAAGAGAGGGCCCAGCTAGGTGGCCTAGCAGCTAAAGTCCTTGCCTTGAATGCACCAGGATCCCATATGGTTCTAATCCTGGCGGCTCCACTTCCCATCCAGCTCCCTGCTGGTGGCCTGGGAAAGCAGTCGAGGACAGCCAAAAGCCTTGGGTTCCTGCACCCACATGGGAGATCTGGAGCAAGTTCCTGGCTCAAGTTGACCTCCAGGGGAGAGACCACGCTCAACCTTGTCCAAGTCTACACTTCGGCACCGCCTGCCAAGTGGAGTGTAAGGGAAGAGAGCAGGTGCTTTCTGAGCGAGTCGAGCATCGGGACGGCTGAGGGAGCTGGGGTGCTGGCCCTGCAGGGAGGAGGCCTGTCCTGAATGAGGACATTGTAGAACTGAGGGCTCCTGGGAAAGAGCCAAGGGAGGTGACCAGACAGTGAGTGAGCTGTGGGGCTGAGGATGCCTGGGGGCTGACAATCCCCGCTGCTAGCTGACAGCTTTTTATCACACATGTGGAGTTCACTGCTCTGTGTGCATGTGTGTGTTCTTAACCTAGGTGTCACTCACACCCATATTCAGTACAACACACTCATGCCCTGCTGCACATAAGCACATCAACGAGACTCTGATTGACACCCGTGGTCCAGGACAGCACTGCGGCACTGCGAAGGGTGTATTCTGCAGAAGATCTTGACCAAGGGTGACGAACAGAACTCGAACCCACTCCCTCCCCTCCCCCCAAACGCTGGGGGTAACTCCAAGCCTCCTCCTGGGGGGGGTTCCTGAAGGCTCAGTCACCACAGGGGGCATCCAGCGAACCTCTGTGAGTGTTTAGAAACAAGACAAACCCAGGGACCATCTGGGCTGTTGAGATCTCACGACCTTGCCCTGCAGGTGGGTTTGAGAGAGTGGCTGTGAAGCTGGTAGCTCAGGGCCTGTCTCGGCCTTGGCCTTCAGCAGCTGGTGACTGTAAGTAGGGCCACAAGAGGAGACACACACACATCCCAACTAGCAAACCATGACTAGGCATGCAAGGTGTCCTGTGCCTTAGCTTTTCAGAAGACAAAATGGTCCAAGTCTTGCAAGTTATGCATTGGCAGAGGGGAGGGGCCCAATGGGCAGCACAGAGGGCAGGGGTGGAGTGAGGAGTAGGTAGGTGGGCAGATGAGAGCTCACCTCACTGCAGAACCTTCCAGAATGTTAAGTAACAGAACCCAGAAGCAAGTGCCTGGGTGGAGCCAGAACCAAGTCTGGGTGAGAGGTAGCTTGGAGCCAAGGAGTGGCCCGACCTGACACTGGGGCTTTCCCTCCCAAAGAACCTTCCAGACACACTCGTGGGTCTGGAGCAGGGACTCCAGGGAGCCAAAGAAGGCCCAGAGCAGACATTCCTTCCACAGAGCAGCGGTAACTCTCACCCACACAGCTCCGGTTGTCTGCCGCCAGCTCGTAACCAGGGTTGCAGGTGCAGTGGAACGTGCCTCGGGCGTTGACACACTGGTGCTGGCAGCTGTGTCTCCCCTCAGCACACGGGTCTGTCCCTGAAAACACACAGGGCCAGGATCAGCCAGGGGACACACAGATGGCCACCTGCAAGGCAGGAAGCTGCAGGATGGGCTGGGATCAGGTGCACGCAACAGCCCCCAGCAGGGCCCTGGCTGGGCTATGACTCATTGGAGAACAGTCAGAAGGGAAGAATGGGGCTTGAGCAGCCCCTGTGAGCAGGGTCAGCAGCGGGAGCATAGACCAGATGGTCAGTGGGACAAGGCACGCGCATGCAGGGGCTGGGGCGGCAGGTGCGCTGATTCTACAGAGGTAAGACAGGCCAACGTGTGAAGCCACTGTCTGGGATGCCCACATCCACTATGGGCTCTGGTTTGAGCTCGGCTGCTCCACTTCCAACCCAGCTCCCTGCTAATGCACTTGGGAAAGCAGTGGAAGATGGTCCAAGTGCTTGGACCCCTGCACCCATGTGAGCGACCCAGCTCCAGGCTCCTGGCTTGGACTCTGTCACTGCGGCCATTTGGGAGGGAAGATGCCTGTTGTGTGTCTCTAAATCTACCTGGGGCGGCTCTTGTAGCGTGTGTGGGAGGAGCTAATAGGAGAGTGGGAGGGGTCATATGCAAGTAGGCAGGGCATGACTCCGGCACTAGCGACCACCTTACAGGGGCCAAACATCTCCTTCCTGTCTGAAGCCCCTCCTGCACTGTACCAGCTCCACCCTGATGCCCTAGCCCGAGCCCACAGCCCAGGCCAAGGTGGCCAGAGCTGAAATTTGGCAGCGCTCCGGGTGGGCGGTAGTGCTTGGAGCCTGACCGCGGAATGGTTGGTGCCTCAGCCCCATACCCCCCTCACTTACCGCACAGGCGGCCATGGAGCTGCCTGCCGAACTCCTGGATGAGGTCAAAGGACTCCACGAGGAAGACGTGTTCCTCCAGCGGCGGGGACGCCATGGCGCGCAGGGAGCCCACATCCGCGCGCTGCACCCCAACCGCGTAAATCTCGATGCCGCGGGCACGGGCCTGGGCTGCCACCTCGGACACGCGGTCCTGGGGCCGCCCGTCGGTCACGATGACTGCGATGCGCGGCACGCGCTGCTCCGGGGGGCGAGCGCCCTCGGCCACGCTGAAGGCCACGTTCATGGCGTATTGGATGGCCAGCCCGGTCATGGTGCCCTGGGCCAGCGGCACCAGGGCGCGGAGGGCCCGTTCCATGTCCTCACGGTGCGAGAAGGCTCCCAGGGGGAAGACGCTCTGCACCTGACTTGAGTACTGGATGACGCCAACGCGCGTGGCGTTGAGCCCCACGTCCAAGCTGCGGAGGAGGCCCACCAGGAACTGCCGCACCGTCTCAAACTCGAAGGGACGCACGCTGCGGGAACTGTCAATCACGAACACCAAATCCAGGGGGCCCGTATGGCACTTGGGACCTGCAGGGAGGACTTTGCTAGGTCAGCACCACTTTGCCTGCAAGAGGGTGACGTCTCAGGGTGGGCCCTGCTCTCCCTGCGCAGTCTCAGTAAGCAAAGGCGCGCACACACACACACACACACACACACACACACACACACACACGCTGCTAGCACTTCCTGGGGGACCTGGGCTAGAAGGGGTCACCCACCTCGCCTGCAGCTCCAAGGGAGCTGGGTAGGCAGCATGGCTGCCAGAACCGCCTGGAACCTGACCGCGGATGTGCCTGGCTACCTCGTAAGATGGGCATCCCCCACTAGACGTGCCCGCTCGGAGCTGGATCTGAGCAGACCCTTCCTGGTGTGTGATTTCCCCCACCCAAGAGAAGTTGCACATTGCAATTTTTAAGAGAAACCTGATGTTTCTTCAATATTTTTATTAGCTTCTGTAATATTATACGCATGAAATGGGTGATTGTGCACAGGTCCCAAAGAAGTCCCAAACTAAATCATGTCCCCCAAATGAAAAAACAGGAAACTCAACTCTGAAACCCTGGCTCCCACCTCCCCCAGAAGGCGTTGGCGTGGCTGCTGGAGAGCTGGGTTCCTGGGCCTCCTCCCCATCCGCCAGGGGTGGGGACTGGGCCCAGCTCACCTGCCGCCTGGGGCTGGCTTTCCCAGACCTGGAGCAGCAGCAGCAGCGCGAGCAGTGGGCAGGCAGCAAGGACCCTCATGGCGCGCACTCGACAGAGAACGGGGTGTCAGGGGCTGCAGGGAGGAAGGGAAGTCGTAAATCAGACGTGTATAGAGCTCTGATTCTGCATGACCGACACGTGGCGCTGGAGGTTTATTTTGCTGATCTATTTCTGTGTATGTCTAAAAGGTTCTTGGTAAAATTCATAGCCGTGGGATTGCTGGGAAACACAAGACTCTTTGTAGAGCTGAAGAAAGTTTCACTTTGTGGAACCGTGGAGCAATAAATAAAAGATAAAATGAAAATAGACCCCCCCCCAAAAAAAAGCAGCAAGCAAGCTTTGCTGAACGCCAGGTAGAGTTCGGTGCTTGTCAAGCACTGTGGCTCTGAATGATTGCTAGCATTATTGTCCCCATTGTACAGGTGAGCAAACTGAGGCCCAGAGAAATTAACCCCTGGCATCCAAAGTCTTTTGGCAAGGAAGTCCTGCCCTGGGGATAGAATCTTCTGCCTAGCCCATAGACCCTGCGTATTCACAGGGTACCCGTTGCACTCTGCTCCCGGGAGCAGGAACTCTGCAGACAGAAGTTGTCACCCTCGTGCGCCCACACACCGCTCAATGGCCGGCTGAGCGTAAAGCTGCGCGGCTGAGCGTGGGGCCAACGGGCCAGGAATGCGCCCAAACCCACCAAACCTAACTCCAGGCTTGCGTTCTCCTGAAAGGCCGCCAGGGGACGCCCGCTAGGCCTGACCGTGACCGCTCAGTGGCCGTGGGAAGCCCACATCTGCCCAACAGGTGTCCCTGCCCAAAGCAAACAGGGGGACCGGGAGCCCCGGGACCTTGGAGATAAGGCCTGAACAGGATATACGTGGCGCGAGGACCGCGGGGCAGGGCTGTGCACGACGGTTCCAGAGACTGCACCCCCTGAGACCCTTTCGGAAGGCGACGGCCTGAGCGGTCATGGACTCTCTGGGGACGACAGGTGAGCGACCCTCGCTGTGCATCATCCATGGCGCGGAGAGAAACACAGAGGCCCGGGAAGACAGCCCACCCAGCCGCGGAGGCAGGACTGGAACCTGGCTGCCAGGCTCGCTCCTGGCTGCAGGGCAATACTCCTGGGAGCCACCGCGCGCCCCCTGCTCCCCGCGCCAGCGGTCAGGCCGCCGCAGTTCGTGCTCCGCTGCGGTTCCTCCGCAGAGGGGCCCGCGCCCCTGACGCGCCGCAGCCCCGCCCTCAGCGGCCCTGAATGCGCCTATTCTGCTGCTCGCTGCAGGCCGCCTTCCTGCCCCGGATTCTTCTCCCCCTTTGCCTTCCAGGCCTGGTGCAGGAACAAAAAAAAAAAACCTCTGGCAGGGCCTTTGGTGGGAGTGTGACTGAGCCCGACGTGCCAGCGACTGGCGGAGGTGGGAGGACGGGAGGCCTTCTCCAGCCCGGGGCGCAGGACTGTCTGCACAGCCCAACCTCTCCCAGCCACCCCGCGTCCCCCGTCCCGATGAAGTCCCCACGAAGTCCCCACGTTGCTGCCCCAGGCCTGAACCCACCTCGCTTCCAGCCCAGAAGCCCTCTCCCCTTTCCACAGAGGAAGGGACGGGGTCCCCACCCAGACCACACGGCTGACTTCTAGCCCCGGCTTCTCCTCCCGGAGCTGGCCTTTGTGTGAAAGACACAAACCTGGCGTCGCCCTGCGCGAAGGGGCGGCGGGCTGGCCCGGGGACGACGGGGCAGTGAGCAACTGTCCTGGCACCGGCCAAGAAGCCCACACCTTGGGGGTGTCCTGGGGCGCTGCTGGGGTGGGTGGGAACGAGGCGAGGGAGGGAAGGGTTTTCTAATGTGCGGGTGCACGTGGAAGCGACTTGAGGGATCTAGATGGAGGACACTGCGGGTCAGATCGGGGTCACTGTGAGCAGCTACAAATCCGGCCCCCGCAGGTCCCCCGGCGACCCCGAGCTCTCTGACTCACCTGAGCCTGCGGGACAGCTCCGAGGCGCGGCCGCAGAACCGGGCCGACGGGCGGAGCCTCGCGGGCGGCTGGAGCAGGTAACGGCGCGGGCAGCGGGCCCGAGGTGGGAACTGCCAGGCGGCTGGGGCGGGCCGAGGCGGCGGGCGCATTTAACCCAGGCGGCCGCGACCCCTCCCACTGGCAGGGGGCGAGCCCCCCTCGCCTTCCTCCGTGGGCCGGGGCGGAGCCCGCGCTGCGCCCCCAACGCCCAGCACCCTCGGAGCAGCCGCGGGAGCCGGGCGGCGACGCTCTCGGCGCCTGGAATGCGCTGGAAGGCGGCGAGGCTCTTCCCTGCGGAGAGCCCCAAGAGGCGGAGCGGCCCTGCAGCTGGCAGCCGCCCGCCTGGACCGGCTTCGGAGGGCGCGGCACGCTGGTCCTCGTGCTCCCTTCCAGGAGCTAGGAGAGGTCGGGCCGAGAGGGCACGGGGCGCCAAGGTTAGCCTCAAGGGTCCCGGCCCTGTCCGTGACCTGGCTCCCTCCACTGGGCCAATGCAATCGCTCTCCCGCTCTGAACCTAGGGGAGGGTGAGTGGACCCAGCAAGGGATTCGAAGACCCCCTCCCTTCCCCTCCACCCTAATTCTCGGGCTGTCCAGGGTGGCCGGCATCTCTCTGCCACCTATACTCCTATAGGCCAGGCCCGTCCTGCGTTCCCAACCTGTGTGTGCACCACGCAGCCAGCACTCACATCCCGGGCTCCTTGGGTGCCTGCACAAACGCGGCCTTTGAGTAGCACTGCAGTTTTGCAAGGCTCGGGACTGCAAAGGGTGGGACCTTGGTGGCCCGGTGACTTCTGTGCGGTTCTCTGTGCATACCGCAACACAAGCATCTAACCCACGCCTCGGGATCACGCCCCCACTCCACCAAGCTCCCTTTCTTTTCCTGACCTTGAGGGTGCCTCCATTTGCTGCCCCCAGCCCGAGCTGCTGGGATCCACAGCACGTGGTCCCCTGCCTACCACCCGCGGGCGTAGCACCAGTGGCCTCTCGCACTTCCCCACCCCTCCAGGTCGTCCCCGGAGCACGGCTCCGTCCTGAAGGCAGGTGTGCGCACATGCCTGCAGCAGCCGTGCCAGCAAACGGTGCGGATCCTGCACGCCAAGGTGGCCCAGAAATCCTACGGAAACGAGAAGCGGTAGGTGGAGCTGCAGCTCTAGGGTCCCTGCGTGGGGGGGGGGGGGTCGGGGGACCGCAGGGAAAGCCTAGGGCTCCGGGCGCCCACCACCACCACCCAGGGGCCCTCGGCTGTGCTGCTGCTGTAGGCATTCATTCAGCAGAACAGGTGACTGGTGGAAAGCAAACTAGAGAGCTCAGGGAGGTGGGACGCCTTTTAGGAGGTGTCATCTGATTGAGAAGAGAATGCAGACCCCTGGGGCAAGGCTGGCTAGGTCTGCTCAGCTACAAAAGAACTCAGAGTAGCTGGTGTGAGAACCCGAGGAAGGAGGAGGAGGGGATCCATGGAAGAAGTAAGCAGGGAGTATATCATGGAGGATGGGAGGGGGTGGCAGGGACACCCCACACCCCAGCTGGCCGGGGCAAAGATAACGGGCTGGAACTAAGGCCAAACTGGCTTGGTGGGGCGCACGGGACTCCCTGGGGGTTTGAATGGTGTCCCCTGCTCCCCCCAAAAAACACTAAAAAGGCTTGGATGCCAATGAGGTTCCCGGCCACGGAGAGAGGAGGAGAAAGGGGTGTCTGGGGTCTGTGGCCCTGGAGACGCGTGCAGGTGGATGCAGGAACCTGGCGCCCACGTGTCTCCGCAGCTTCTTCTGCCCCCCTCCCTGTGTCTACCTCGCCGGACCCGGCTGGAGGGTGAAGCCAGTGCCAGGCCAAGGTGAGGCTCGCGTGCGCCGGGCGGACGGGTGCCCTCGGGAAGGTGGGTAAGCGCACTCCGCCTGCGCCCTCTGCCGTCCCGGCACGCGCCCCGAGCGCTCTCCCAGGCCCTGGTCGCGCGCCTTTGCAGCCCACCCGGCGGCGGAGACCGGGCCGAGCGTCTGCGGCTACATGGGGCTGGACGGCGCGGCAGGCAGCGCGGCCGAGACGCAGCGGCTGAATTTCGAGGAGCAGCCGGATTCCAGGGTAAGGGCGCACGGGGCGGGGTACCCCCTGCTCCCCATCCCTGCCTGTCCCTGGAGGGGAGGGTGGCCGCCTCGAGGGTCGCCCCCACCTCTCGGGGCGGGGAGCCTGTGACCGTGGCAATGGCAGGGGCCCCGGGGGGAGACAGCCGCCTCCCCACCAATCCTCCAGGAGTTCGGCTGCGCCAAGACCCTGTACATCTCGGACGCGGACAAGAGGAAGCACTTCCGGCTGGTGCTGCGGCTGGTGCTGCGAGGGGGCCGGGAACTGGGCACCTTCCACAGCCGCCTCATCAAGGTCATCTCCAAGCCCTCGCAGAAGAAACAGTCGCTGAAAAACACCGACTGTGAGAGCAGCGCGGCCGAGGCGGGGAACAGGCTGGACCGGCGAGGGGCGGGGCCCGAGGGCCGGGGAGGGGCTTCGGCGGGGTGGGCGTGGTCGGAGCCGGAGGGCGGGGCCTCGGGCGAGAAAGGGGCGGGTCTGCCGATGGGTGTGGCTCAGGCCGGGAACCGAGGGACTGCAGCAGAGGACCCAGAGACAGGGTAGTGGTGAGGGGGTCTCCTTAAAGGTCGGAGTTGGGGACGCAGAACGGGCAGAAAAGATCAGCATGTGCTGACCTAGGGACGGAGTGAGATTGGAGATACAGGGGTGGAGGAAATCCGATTGGAAACATTTGTGGAGTTCCTGCAGCGGCTTGGTTCTGCCCTGGGCATGGGGGTCCCCCAAGGCCTCTAGAGGGAGATACACGCAGCAGGTGCAAAAAGCGACTGGAGACCAGCACGGCTGTGCACGCCTCAGGGCTGGCGGCTCTGCGAATCGATTTTTGTGAAAGCCAGGACGACCAAGCCAGCACTACCTCTGGCTTGCAGGGGGAGTAGAAAGGGGCGCATCCCTGGAGGACACTTACTTGCTCTGTGCTACTTGATGCTTCCCCGTCCCAGTCCCAGTTATTGTAGGCAGGAACCACCAGGCTTGCCACATTTATCCCTATGGCCCCCCAGACTTGCCTGGGGCTACCCTGACTAGCCTGTGGCTCAGGTAGCAAGTGACCTGGAGTCCGCGTGGCTGTGGGACCACACTAAAATCCTTCAGATGGCTCCGGCTGGACCTAGGTACAGAAAAGGGCCAGGCAATGGCTTGGTGTGATGCCTCGGGGTGCAGACTCTGGAGCCCAGTGCCATGGGTTTGAATCCTGGCTGTGTCACTTGGTAGCAGCCCACTCTTGATCAAGTCACTGTCTTGATAGCAGAGAACAGTCCGGGAAGGCTGTGAAAAATGGAATGAAAGTAGAAGTCTACTTGGGATAAAAAAAAAATGAAACCCATGTGTACATGGGTCTTCAACACTTTCAAGGGAAAAAATGCATGGATTTCAAAACTTCCTTGCATCCAAGTAAATACAGAATTTTTGGAGTGCTCCCCTATGTTTGCCTTGCAGGGCTGTTTATTGGAAAAAATCAAATGAGCCAAGATGCTTAAGGCTTTGCAAGGTGCACAGTGAATGCCACCTCTTAGCAAATGGGTAGGGGACTGGCATTGCACATGCATGGCACACCTACAGTGCATCCAGATAAGCTGAGAGAACTGGAATTACCACCTCATGGATGAAGGCCAGGCAGAAATCAGATCTGTGACTCTGAACTCAGCAGAGAGCACTGCCTCCTCTGGGAAGGCCTCCTTGGATGTACCATCTGACCCTTGCTAGCCCCATCTTCCTTCCCTCCAAAACTGTGATGTCCCATGGCAAAGCCTTTGGTGCCCAGTGCCCAGCCCAGAGTAGACACTCAGAGACTGTTTGTCTCCCTCTGTCACACTGAAGGACACCCAGGCAGCCCAGACCTAGGCCGACAGTAGGCCCTAGGCCAGAGGACCGCAGTGTGTCTAGGCTGGCAGGCACACCTGCCAGGCTGGCCCAGAGGATTGGATGTCATCAGTGTGTGTGTCCAGTGCCAGGCTGGTCTGGGGCACTGACCCCCCTCCCTTTGCAGTGTGCATCTCCTCGGGCTCCAAGGTCTCGCTCTTCAACCGCCTGCGTTCCCAGACGGTGTCTACGCGTTACCTCTCTGTGGAGGACGGGGCCTTCGTGGCCAGCGCGAGACAGTGGGCCGCCTTCACGCTGCATCTGGGTAAGCTCATCCGCAGAGCTGGGTACTCCTGCAGTGCCCACCGCTGGGGCTCTGAGATGCAAGATGCCACCCTTAGTCCCATGGCGGGTGCTGGTGCCTGAGCCCAGCTACCCTGACTCCAATGCCCATGTTTTTCCCTCATGCTAGCTGAGCTGCCTCCCCCCAGCCCCTGTCCCAAAGGACGCATGTCTTCCACATTGGCCACGAAGGACGGCTGTGGCCTGGGAAACAGTAGCCTTAGTACTGCTGCCCTGCATGCTGACCCTCCCCACAAGGTCCGGGGGTGTCATGAGGCGGGGCCAGAGGCAGGGCAGGACTTCGAAGCCTTTGATCCTCTCTCGCTGGCTTGCTGTGCCCCCAGCTGATGAGCACTGCACCCAAGGAGACTTCCCGCCTCGAGAGGGCTACGTGCGCTACGGCTCCCAGGTGCAGCTGGTGTGCACGGTAACCGGCATCACGCTGCCCCCCATGGTATGATGAGGGAGGACCCTTCCCCGGCTGTGCAAAAGGGGTGGCATGTATGGGCAGAGTTGTAGGTTGAGCCCCAAGCCACACAGACGCCATTTCCCACTCAGAGCTCTGTGGGACTATGGGGAAGTCAGGAAGGAAGTTGCAGGTGCTCACGTGGCTGGTGCAGTGGCAGAGTTGGTGTCACCAATCCCACCATTCTCCCCCATCTGTGGCAGATCATCCGCAAAGTAGCCAAGCAGTGTGCACTCCTGGACGTGGATGAGCCCATCTCACAGCTGCACAAGTGTGCCTTCCAGTTCCCCGGCGGGTCCCCGGGAGGAGGTGGCACTTACCTGTGCCTTGCCACGGAGAAGGTGGTACAGTTCCAGGTGAGACACCCATGATGTCAGCCCTGGAGAGACTGCCGAGAACCTAAGATTCTCTGCGTGCCCAGCATGGTCGCTCCCTCACCGAGCAGGACTGCCTTCCAGGGGCGCTGGGGCCCCAGCCCACCCAGGGCAGAGCCCACAGGAGGTGGGGAAGCAGTCGCAAGGGGTACTCTCCAGCAACGCCACTCCTTTCCCACACATGCCAGGGCCGTGTAAATCTGGCTTGAATCGTCAAACGGAATAAGAATGACAATACTGAATGGGTCAAGACGGTTGGAAGGATTGGATATTAACACAGAATCACAGAATGCCGGAAACAATGAGGCTGATTAAGCCAGAGAACTCCCAAGGGAAAGGATTCATAGAATGTTAGGAGACAAGATTATAATTCGTAGGAATTAGCTATCATTGTTGTTGAGAAATGATTTCCTTCCCAAAGAATGTGAAGGTGGTGAAATGTCAGGGCAGTTGAATTGCATGATGTTGTGAAATAGCGTTCTGGAGTCCTTGAGGAATGAGGACGTGGAAGCATGACTGACTCACCGAGATTCCCTAGGGCTGAGTGGGTCGTGCCCAAGCTCAGGGCAGGTGGAAGTGAAGTGCGGGTACTTGCTGGCACCCCATCCCTGTGCTCTCCCCCCAAGGCCTCTGCCTGCCCCAAGGAGGCGAACAAGACACTGCTCAACGACAGCTCCTGCTGGACCATCATTGGCACCGAGTCGGTGGAGTTCTCCTTCAACACCAGCCTGGCGTGCCCACGGGAGCCGGTTACCCCCGTGCCTCTCATCAGCGCTCTGGAGGTGAATTCCGGCCCAGAAGGGACACGCGGGGCGGGGGAGGGGGCACTCGCACCAGAGGGAGGCTCATAGCTTCGGATCCCTCTCTGTCCTCCCAGCTCAGTGGCGGGGGAGACGTGGCCACCCTGGAGCTCCACGGGGAGAACTTCCACACAGGGCTCAAGGTGTGGTTTGGGGACGTGGAAGCAGAAACCATGTACAGGTAGGGGTTATGAGGAAGTGGGTGTGGCGGGGGGCAGCTAACGGGCTTGTCCAGGTTCCAGCAGCCCTAAGCCCCGGTGCTGCAACACCCACAGGAGCCCGCGGTCCCTGATGTGCGTGGTACCCGACGTGGCCGCCTTTGGCAGCGACTGGCGCTGGCTGCGCATGCCCATCACGGTGCCCGTGAGCCTGGTGCGCACCGACGGCCTCTTCTACCCTAGCGACTTCTCCTTCACTTACACCCCCGAGTACGGCGGGGGGCCCCAAGCCCCCGGACTCCCCGAGCCTGCAGCCGACGCCGACGCGCTACTGGAGAGCATCCACTATGAGTTCACTCGCACCAACTTCCACCTCTTTGTCCATACCTAGGGCTCCACCAGCTCCCCAGCGCTTCGCTGCGGGAGCCAGGGCTGCAGAAGGCTTGCCTGTGTCCTGGCACTACCTGCCCCGGGTCTCGTTTAGTGCTCCTCCGTGCTCGGCCCTTCTCACTTGGTCTCTAAAGCCTTCTGCTGGGGCCTCTGTCAGCTCACGCAGTACTCCCTCCCTGAGTCTGCCCCAATGCCCCTGGGGGTTCCATCTCTCTCCCTTCTCTGGGCTGTCCCTGTGTGTCACTCAGTTTCCCACTCTGAGCGACCTGTGTGTCCCTATGAAGAAGCAACACGTGGTTTTGTACACCCAGGCAGGGGACGTAGGTTCCCAGGACAATGTCCTGGCACGCCAAGCCCTGCTTGGAGTCCTGGGCTCCCTCTGGAGCATGAGGTCTCCCCTGGAAGGTTCTGGAACACCAAGTGCCCCTCCAGCTTTGTAGCTGGAACAGCAGCCAGTGCTTCTGGTTCAGTTGCCAACTCCCCTCCCCCCAAACCCTGTCCCTTCTGCAGGCCCAGTAAGTTTAATTCTGAGACGGGATTCCTATGCTGTGCTAGAATCAACCCCCTCCCAAGGCAGGATCTCAACTGCGCTCTATCTCCCCAAGGAAGAGGGCGCCCCACTGGACCCCCACCCATCCACAGAAGAGGACACCAGTTTTAGAGGGCTTCCTTGGGGCCTTCTCCCTGTCCTGGGGTCACTCAGTAGCTCTGAGAATGATCCCGTTATCCTCATTCCAGCCATGGATACCCCCACATTCCAGAGGCTGAGTGGATGGGAGCACAGGACCCCTTCAAGCCAGCTTTCCCAGGCTAATGTGGAGTGCAAGTTCTGGACCAACTGGGCAAAAGCACAGCTGAGAGAGGGGACGTGGCTGGGGGGAGGAGGGCTCTTCTATAGGGACCTACAGGCTGGTCACAACCCTGTCCCCATCATCTACGCACGATGGAGAATGAAGTGGGCAAAGCCAGCAGGTCCAGGCTCAGGCGATGGGATTCAAGATGCCAGCTCCCTGCCCAGCCCCTGTGGGTCCCCAGCAGTCAGGAATGAAGACCCCAAGCCCCTGGGCCTCCCCTGCCTTCTGAGGAAAAGCTCTTTTTCTGTATTAGTTGGCCCCAGCACGTGGAAAGTCCCCTAAGAAAGCACTAGCTGGCATTCCCCAGAAGAAAGGAAATGGGGTTTGCTCCCTGAACTCCCCAGAGTTCATGTTGTTATCTGCCTGAAGCATGAGGCTGGGGGGAGGGGTACAGCCTGGAGAACAATACAGGGAGCAGGTGAGACAGAAGTGTGCCCCCGAAGTGAGTGCCTGCCCCCAAGCATGGGCCTCACTGTCCTTGCAGAGCAAGACACCACGGGGGATTGGCACGGGGAGCTGGGCTGCCTCTGCCACTTGCTGAGGCAGAAGCCTGGCAACCTCACTTGAAGCCCAGGTTTGGCCAGGCAGCGGTAGCTTTCTCACTGCTCCAGAGGACCCTGCTACCTTGGTCCCACCTACAAGGCCTCTGGGAAGACCTGAACCTCCTAGGAACCTGAATGCATCTGACACGAACTGCCTCCCCTCTCCTCCTCACAGCACTCCCCTCCCGCCATCCACTCCGCGCCCCTGGCACCCTAGAGGCTATTTCCCAAGCCTCGCACTGGTGTGGGTGTTCTAGGAACTGCGATGCCTTGGAAAATACTTGGAAATTGCAATGTGAAACCACCAGGTGGCAATGTTCCCTTGTCTAGCGGTGCATTTTCCCTCTTCCATTCATTTCGTTCACTCATTCATATAAGTCATCTTAAAACAAAGATTTGAAGTTCTTTTTATGCTCACAGTCTCCTTTGTAGGTTTCTACAAACAATTCTCCCCACTTCTAGGTGGAGCTTTAAGTGTGTCCCTGTTCCTGTTTTTCCACACTGCTGGGTGTAGGTGGGGTGGGAGGGGAGCCGTTCACCTGCTGTGATCATGAGGCCACTGCCGGTCTCCACGTCTCCCAGCTGTCCTGGTGCCTTGGGGTCCCATGCACACGCTGCTGTCCCAGCTTTAAGCCCTGAACCTAGGGTTTCTCTTTCCCTTCGGTTTCTGCCAATTGGGTTTTTCTACAAGGGAAACCGAGTCCAGCCAGTGTGGGGGTGACATTCTGAGATCTCTCCCTGGGGAGGATGCGGTTTGCTGAGGACACGCACTATGAAGGCGGCAAGGAAGTGACTTGAAAGGAAGTGAAACCTCAAGACCTCAGCTGCCCTCAGGCAGGCAAGGACAGCGGTGGGCAAAGTGGTGCACACACATCTGCCACAGCTGGCCGAGGCAGGATGTGTGTGCTGTCACGAGGGGGCACGGAAGGACAAGCAAATTTCCTGGGAAGGTATGGCTTTGTGACCAAGTTCACGGTAGGCTCATCCTGTTAAAGAGTATGGGGAGCGGACCCAGGCCCCCGGACTTCTCACCCTGTCTGGTCCTAAGCTTAGACCCCCAACTATAAGCTGTCACCTTCAATACCTCACTCTCGCAGGGCAGTCACACTTCTTGCCTATACCTGTGAGGTGTTGCAAAATGCCTGTGGGAAATGAAATTCAGAGTTCATTTGGAGGGGCTGAAAAATCGTGGGAGCTCGCCCAGGCCTGTGTGCGCCATGAACGGTACCAAGAGCTCTGTGCCCCGGCCTTCACAATGCCTTTGCACCCGGAGTGAGTGTTTGACACCTAAGGGTGAAGGTACCACCTGGGACATGCAGGTCCTGTGTCAGACTGCCTGGGTTCAAGTCCCGGCTCTGCCTGTGATCCAGCTTCCTGCTAGGGAGACTGACTGCTAGCTGATGGCTCATGTCCTTGGGTCCCGCCACCTCCCATGCAGGAGACCTGGAATAAATTCAGCTTCTGGCTTCAGCCTGGCCCAGCCTGGGATCTGTAGGCATTTGGAAGGCAAACCAGTGAACAGAAGATTCTGCTCTTTCATACTCTTCTTTAAAATAAGTGTTTCACAACTCTTTTGCACAAAAATTAATTTTTAAAATTTTCCTTTTCCCTTGAGGTCCCTTCATGTTTTCAAAGGAATCGTTTAAGATTTATTTATTTGAAAGACGGAGTGAGAGGGAGATCTTCCAGCAACTGACTCACTCCACAAATGACTGCAATGGCTGGGGCTGGGCAGGGTGGAAGCCAGGAGCTTCTTCCAGGCCTCCCACGTGGGTCCAGGAGCTCAAACACCTGGACCTTCTTCTGCTGCTTTCTCAGACACATCGGCAGGGAGCTGGCTCAGAAGTGGAGCAGCAAGAACACAAGCCAGCACCCATACAGGCTGCTGGAGTTGCAGGTGGTGGCTTAACCTCCTACGCCACCATGGGAGCTCTGAAGGGATCATCCCGACATGAAACAGTGAGGCCGGAGGGACCAAGAGGGTGAGTGAGCACAGCAGCCAGTGAGGCTCTTGTGTTTCAGTTTCCTTTCCTGAAAGTGGAGACAACTGTACTAGTTTCACAAGCTGTCACGGGGTATGGATATGGAAAGCTTCACCAAGGATACGGGCTGTCTGCTGCCATGGTTACCGCAGAGGTACTTCCAGGCACGATTCAGATCTGGAAGGTTCCCTCCATCTCAGCGAGGTCACAGACCTCTTTGTATCTTCAGGCTGCTGTGTGACCAATGGCCGCCGCCACAGCAGCAACAGGCCACGACCACAGGCATCTACCGGCCCGAGACTCCACGGGTCAGAGGTACGAGGGCAGCACCGCCAGTCCCCTGCTCAGGGTCTGCACCAAGACATCAGGCAGGTCAGGAGTGCTGAGCCCCAAACCATGCCTTGCTAGCAAACTTCAAAACGAGAGACAGGCGATCTAGAAAGTACCAGGTTTATTAGCCTTTTTATAAAAAAAAAAAAAAATCAGTAACAGACAACAGTGTGAGGAGTGGCTACACAAGAGGGGCTTGCTCCAACACAGCACGAGGAAGTGGGCCCTGGGTGTAGAAGGGGTCTCAGCCAGCTGGGACCCCGGGTGCGGTGGGGATGAGAACTAAAAGCTACTGGGGTACAGTGGCAAGGGAAGCTGAGTGTCCCTACCCCAGCCAGTGGGGTCGGAAGTGGTGGTCTGCCCAGACCAAGCCACCAAGCCTCTCCTCTCAGGAGATGAGAGGCCCCGAGCTAGGACTGCTCAGTTTTCTCCAGCAGCTGCCTTCCCAGGAGCCCTCAATGCAGCAGCGGCAGCCACAGGTGGTGACCAAGCGCTGAGAGCATAGGGAGGGCTACTGAGCGGTGGCTTTCTCGCGTACTGGGACTGGAAGTGACCTACAACCCGAACGGCCGTGTGTGGCTCCTGTGTTGGACAGCGTGGCCCCAGAGCTTGGAAGAAATAAATCAAGGGAGCCCAGCTGGCAGCCTCCCCTGCCAGCAGAAGGCCGAAAGAGAGGCCCACCACAAGGCACCAGAATGGGACAAGAGAAAGAGGTAAAAGACCTACCCAGGCACACAGAAAAGCCATTCACTCAACCACCCCACCAACAGCCAACTGGAAATATCACACTATTTCCTGAAAAAAAAAATATATATATATATATTTTCTATTTTTCTAGAACAAAGGAAGAATAATAATATATTACAAGAACTCAGGCGCAAATATCCCACCATCCCCTACTATATATTTTGGAATCTACCAACTGCACACCATCCCCTCCCAAAAGTTAATGTCTTGATCAAAGCTACTTCATAGAGAAGGCAGCTAAACCATGAGCAGGAGAGGGTGAAATATTTTTTTGAAAGTGGGGAGGAGGCTTAAAACAAGGAAAGAGAGAAGACAGAAGAAGCCCCGTCTCAAGCTATAAATAGTTAAAAAAAATTAATAAAAATCATATCTCCATCTCTTCTCTCATTTTCCATAAGCAGAACAAAAACAAAACCATTAAATACACACTTGACAGGTGCTGGGGAAATGGGTAGGAGTCAAGATCGAGTAGACGGGCATCTCCATGCTCCGCCCTGGGCAGAGGGGCTCCACAAAAAGGAATGAACCATTAAACACACACACACACACACACACACACGCATATATTAAAAATAGATTAACAAATACTCTACAAACCCATTTCAGCATAAACCTTCAGCGCTTTCTTCCTCCCTCCCACCATCCCCTCCCCCCCAGTACAAAATGTTGATTTCCAAAAGTCACTTGGAAGAGCCCGGAACGGCCCAAGCACAGGAACCTGTTGTGTGGTCACAATACCCACTGATGGCCACAGCCCAAGGGACAGGTGGTTTTGCTTCTTTCTCCCAGATCCTGGACAGACAGGGAGGGAAGAGGGGGCTTCCAGCCAGGACTCACACGACACCCCCAAGACCCCAGGTTTCAGAGGGGCTCCGGGAGGGGCCCATGAATCAAAACCTGGTTCCAGATTCTAATCTGGAAGCTTAAAAAAAACAAAAACAAAACAAAAAAAAACAAGATCCAATCCAAGGCTTGTCTTCAGGAAAGGCCAAGTATAACCCCATTTTTCTGCCAGGGCAACTGAGTCCCAGCGAATCAAGAAGAGCTAGGCAGAGCAGTAGGAAGATGGTGTCTCTTCTGACACAGAAAGTCATCAGAGCTGGAGATGCTGACAGGTCAGTGTGAACTTGCCCTCCCTCAACCCTAAGGTCCACCACGCTGATGCCTTCCCCTCCCCCGCACTGCCGAGGAGGCTTCAGGCGTAGAACTCGTTGGTGGGGGCCTTCTTGTAGATAGGCTTCTTGCCCAGGTCGTAGCTACCTTCGTCCTTCTTCTTCATGCGGTAGACCAGCAGCAGGATCAGGAAGACAGCGAAGAGGATGCCCACGATGCCGCCCACGATCAGCGCTGCGGGGAGATGGCGAGGAAAGTCATCGCTGGGCCCTTGGCACGGCCACCCCACCTCCACCCGGACCACCACCTCTGCCGAGCAGGCCCAAGGCTTAGTGAATTCACCCCTGGCGACCCCAGGGGGAAGGGGCCACGCTAGGCCATCCAGGCCCCCGGACGGCAGAAGGGCTCAAGCGGCAAAGGCGCTGTTCCAACGCACGTCGGCTCTAGTCCCAAGTCCAAGCTCTTTCCAAACACCAGGCTGACTCCCCAGCAACGGCTCAGTGCTCATTAAGTGGGAACAAGGGAAATGGCAGGCTGTGGAAACCCCCTCTGACATCCCAGGGGAGTTATATAAACTTTTTAAGAAAACAGAAATGAAAGATAAGTTTACTTGGTGTGGAAAATAAATGATGAAATCCCCTCATGGTATTTTCAAAATACCCATTTCCAAAAACTTTTTGAAGACTCCTTGTGTGCCTGGATTTCACAATTTTTTGCTTCAAAATAAACTTGTGAATCCACTTCTCCAAAAGCTTTTTGCAATCCCCTGGCGTTAACCGCCTCCACACCTTGGGAGGGGCGCTCTCCATCTCTCCCCAAAAGGATCCCAGTCCATTCCCAGCCTGGGCACTGCAGCACGCCCAAGGAAAACAGAATTCAAAGTTAAAAAACACTGGTTCATATCCCACCTGCTCCACTTCCCATCCAGCTCCCTGCTTGTGGCCTGGGAAAGCAGTCAAGGACGGCCCAAAGCTTTGGGACCCTGCGCCCACGTGGGAGACCCGGAAGAAGCTCCTGACTGCAGATCAGCTAAGCTCTAGCCCTTGAGGCCATTTAGGAAGTGAACAAGCAGATGGAAGAGCTTTCTCTCTCTCTCTCTCTCTGACTTTCATCTTCTCTGTAAATCTGATCTGCTTTTCCAATTAAAAAAAAAATACCACATGAGACTTCCAAAGCAGGCTTTGGCTCATTCAAAAGTTCTGCTCTCAATCCCAACTTCCTGCTGCGCCATACCCTGGCAGGCAGCAGGGTTGGCTCCAGTGCTGGGATCCCTCCCACCCACGCAGGAGACCTGGATGGAGCTCACAGCCACTGCAGGCATTTGGGAAGCGAACCAGTCAGATGGTAGCATGCTCTCTAGTCTCTCAAATACATTTTGTTTTAAAGAAATTTAACTGAGCAAAACATTTTTAAGATGTTTGTGACAAAAAATGAGAATTATGGGAAAGAAAAACATAAACCTGGGCCCGGCGCGGTGGCGCAAGTGGTTAAAAGGTCCTCGCCTTGCACGCCCGGGATCCCATATGGGCGCCGGTTCTAATCCCGGCAGCCCCGCTTCCCTTCCAGCTCCCTGCCTGTGGCCTGGGAAAGCAGTCGAGGACGGCCCAAAGCTTTGGGAACCTGCGCCCACGTGGGAGACCCGGAAGAAGCTCCTGGCTTCGGATCGGCATAGTACCGGCCCGTTGCGCTCACTTGGGGAGTGAATCATCGGATGGAAGATCTTCCTCTCTGTCTCTCCTCTCTGTATATCCGCCTTTCCAATGAAAAAATAATAAAAATAAATCTTTAAAAAAAAAAAAAAAAGAAACGCAAATGTTTAAAAAAAAAAAAAAAACATAAACCTGAAAACCATCTGGACCAAAAAATATTTATCCTTTAATTTCATCTTCCCTGAACTTTAGAAAATACACACCCACACACACCCACACACACCCACACACACACACACACACCCACACACACACACGGAACAGGTTTATACCCACACCGCTCTATTGCCACAGAACTGCATGCAATGGCTTGCATTGCCATGGAAAGCCCAGGGGCTAAAGCCTTGTTTCCACTCCCAATTCTACCTGCACTGGCTCTGGGATTTGGGGGCAGGTTCTTCCTTCCTCTCTTCCATTGCAAAATGGAAGAATCTGTTCATACCCTTTTACATTCCTCCGAAGAGTTAGCAGAATTTACTCAACTGCCTAGGGCACAGCACACACCCAAGACTCCTCCAGGCAAACCTCTGTCTCCCTGGAGGGGCCAGCACAGCAGGAAGCATCCCACAAACGGGCTTCTGTGCGGCTCCCAGCACCTGATGTGCAGCAAGCAGGCAGGTGGGGGCATCTAATCTTGGGTGAGGTCGCCTGAGTCCACTGCTCAGGTGGCCTGAATGACCCACTCCTGCTTATTGGGGGCAGGGATGGCTCACTGGATGCCACTGTTGGCAGACTGAGTCCCCTAATTCAGTCTGACTCAGACTAAGAAGATTAACCGTCCGCCACTGTACACATCCCACAGCCATGCACAGAGTGGGGGCGCAGTGGCCATCCGCCACTGCACACATCACATGGTGGAGTGCCCAGAGTAGCAAAGGAAGGAGCTTCCAGGGCTGGATTCCTACAAAAGGCAGCTCAGAGAGCACCAGAGGAGCCAGGAAAAGCAGGGTATTCCTGGACACCAGCCTCACTTCCGATGGGTCACTTTTGCCTCCAACAACCCCGGCTCCTCCACCAGGCCCAACACATGCACACACAGAGCCACGACCGCATCCAAGCTCAGAAGTTGAGTGCACCCTTGGTCTACCACTTCCTGACTTTGTGACTTTGAACAAGTTCAAGTCGTTGCAGAGACCCAGTGAGGGGCACAGGACTCTTAAGGCAATAGACTAAGAAACAGATGGAAGGTTCCACCTCGGCTGGTCAAACCAAGTCGTGTTTCACATAAGGATCTCAGGCCCATGTCGTTCTCAGATGCTAGAGAAAATGGATGGTCTAGCTCTTGCTACACAACCCAAAGCCTGGGCCTCAGTTTCCCCATGTGTAAGAAACAGTTGTTTGGACCATATCGGTTATTTCTGCATTTTTCCTTAGAAGCAGAGAACTTTAGCCGATTAAAAAAAGCCTACAAATTTAAAAAGTCTATAAAGATGAAAAAGATCAAACATATGCCACCTGAAAATAAAACCCTGTGGCTGGCGAAAAGGCAGGGGAGTGAGGCGTTCCTTTTGAGGCACAGTCTGGAGCCTGGGGCTGGAAGGTCCCCAAGATCCCCTCCCATACTTGTGACACGTGCAGTGGGCAAGGAAAAGTACAGAAGAGCAGTGGCTTAGGTGCCAGGAGACCTGGAACACCTGGGAGGGAGCGGGGACAGGCCGAGGGAGCCTCCCCTGCAGGATACAGGTGCCATCCTTCATCTCTCTCCTGGATGGAGACAGGATGCTGGTTTTGGGTCCAGAGCTCTTTCCCTCTACTGCAAGCCTCTGTAGCCCAACTGGTTCCCAGGAGATAGGAGTCAGCCAGCAGGGCCTGAGGCACCCGCTCCCCCAGCCAGTTCACCTGCACTGCCTCTCGGCCGATGTCTGTACGGGCTGTGGGGCAGGCACTGCGGCACAGCAGGTTAAGCCAGTGCTCGGAGCACCTGCCTCCCGCATCACAGTGCCTGTTCTGCTTCAACTCAAGCTTTCTGCTGATGACAGCAATGGCTGGGGACTCCAGGTCTGTCACCCACGTGGGAAACCCATATGGAATTCTAGGCTTCTTTGGCCTGGCCTGGCCTGGTTCTGGCTCTGGCTGTTAAAGGCACTGGGGGGTTAACCAGGAAATTGAAAAACTCTGTGTGTGTGTGTGTCCATCACTCTGCCTTTCAAATAGAAGAAAATACAAAAATAAACATTTTTAACAAATTACAAACTATGTTCTCTGGTTTCCCAATCTCCTCCTCCCATCCCAGCTTTGGAGACCACAGCCTGTTACTAGCTGCCCAACAGCATGAAATGGCCAAAAAGCTCATTCCCGAAGCCAAACAAAGGATCCCCAGACCTCAGCTTTCTTTTCAGTCCCATGAAGGTACCGTGTGCCTCACGGACAAGAGCCCAAGACAGAGAACCCAAGCAAATCGCAACAGTCCTTTAGCATTCACAACTATCCCACGGTTCATTGTTCATGGGCTCGTGTGCCAACTCAGGGATGGGGGGCACTGCACCCATTTGAGACACAAAGAAACTGAGGGTCCGTCCATCTTGTTCAAAAGCTTCCCGGTCAAGGACACAAGGCGGCCAGGCAGTGCAGCAGGGAGTGGAAAGCTAACTCAGTTCCTAGGAGCCTCTAAGCTTTCAAGGGAAATTAACTCTCAATGATTAACTTCCAAATACCAAACCCGGGTGGTAAAAGTGTTTTGAAAAGCTATGGGAGATAGGCCTAAGGCAAGGGAATGACTCAAAACCTGTTCTTGGTATGCAGGTCATTTCTCCCCCTCCAACTGTTACACACACAGAGCCAGGGGCTCCCTTCCAGGGAGGCCTGGTCCTTGGAAGGCCCAAGGCAGCCGCAGAGAACCCACTGGTTCTCTGCAGGCCCTCCTCTCTCTAAGGCATTTGGGAGGAGTGGAATTCTCACCTGCTAGGACCTCGGTTCGCTCAAAGATGTTACTGCTCTGGGCAGTGCTGGACATGGACACTTTGTTGGAGATATCTTCGTCCCCCTCAAAGGGCGAGATCTTCCTGGGGACAACCTCGTTCTCCTCCAGGTCCTTGGGCTGGCTGGGCAGCCGGATCCCAGGCCTGGTGCCCTCAGGGATGTGGTTATCAAGGGGCGCCTAGGGGACAGAGGAGAAGCAGGGACAAATGCAGAGTTGCTGAGGGAGAGATGTGGGCCGGGAGGCAGGGACAGGCAGGCGGACAGCCTGGTTCTGTTGGCCGAGGCACCAGGACCTGGAACAAGAACCCACGACCACTTCTGCTGTGCCGCCAACATCCTCACCCTCTACCTAGGGTAGCACCGACAGCCCTCCCATACAAGTGGTGTCTGAACCTGCAGATCCAACCAACCACAGATCAGAAATACTAAGAAGGAGACAAAAATGTTTTCCAGGCCAGCGTTACGGCACGATGGGCTAAACTGCTGCCTACGACACCGGGGTCCCATAGGAGCACTGGTTCTAGCCACCTGCTCCATCTCCCACCCTGCTGGTGGCTGGAAAAATGGACAGCTGGGAAGAGTGAACCAGCAGATGGAAGATCTCTCTCTGTAGTTCTGAGTTAGAAGATAAGAACAAAATTGCTGTGGTGCCAGAATTCCGTATGGGTGTGTTCCAGTCCTAGATGCTCCATTTCTGACTCAGCTCCCTGCTTAGGGCTCAACATTCAGTTTCTTGGGCCCCTGCATCCACATAGGAAACTGGGAAGGAGAGCCTAGCTCTGGCCGCTGTGGCCATTTGGAGAGGGAACTTGTGGATGGAAGATCGCTCTCTTTGCTGTTTCTTCCTCTTTCGATGTATAACTCTTTCAAGTAAAATAAATAATCTTTTCAAAAATAAGAATATGACAATAATCAAGCCAGGTTGAAAAGGCAGAACTGTATTTATAATTGGTTTTCCCGGCTGAGAAGGCGGTTTAAATGCCAAAGGGCTGGTGCGGAGAGGACGGCTTGCCTGGGACCCACAGCAGTGCCCAGGGTCAAAGTAAATACCCTGGTTGCAGAGTGGATCCAACCTCTGCCATCTCTGGCACGGGGCAGGAGGAGAGAAGCTCCTCTCCCACCCGTGAGCAGGTGTGTTACAGAGGGACAAGGAAGGAAGGGGCAAAGACGTGCAGCTTACCGAGGGCTCTATCGCTTCAGAGGATTTCCTGGGCTCCTCCCAGTCATCTGCAAGGCCAGAGGGACCGTGTGAGCACAAGGACCGTTCCCGACACGCATGATCCCCCAAGCCACAGCTGTGCGAGTCTACCTTACAACCATCCCTAAAGGCTCAATACGCAAAACTTCAGTTGCCACATCTGTGAAACGGAACTCCCAAGAGCTGCCTCCATGGCTCTTGCACGTGAACCTGGGAGCTAGCAGCTCAGGCAGGTGCTGGGCTGGCTCCAGGGACCAACCGGGGCCTATGTCCCAAACACAGCAGTCTCAGGGCTTCCTGACTCAGCGTCTGCTCCTTTAACAAGACCCTCACAGGACTGTGTGAAAGGGAAGATCCCAGTGGCAACAGTTAGCCAGGTCCTGCAACAGTGAAACACTGACTGGGTGACCATATACGGTAACAGGTGTTATTGCTGCTCCCATTTTAGAGATGAGGAAACCAAGACACAGAGTGGAGTCCATGTCCTGGGACTATGCGACCACAAAGCTCAGACTTCAGATCAGGAGCCCTTCCTTACCTGTGGAAAGCCAGATGTGTCTCAGTAGCCAGCTGGCCCAGAAGCCAATGCCACAAGGTCAAGGACGGCCAGGAGAGGCAGCAGCTCTTGAACCAGCCAATTGGCCTCTGTCCCTTCAGCAGGAGCTTGCTCCCCACCCCCATTCCTCTGCCCACATGTCTGAGCTGGCATTTTGCCTTTCCAAAGGAAGAAAAGCACCATCCACCCTACCACTCCCCTTTAACCTTGACCTTGACCTCCACCAAGGGACAGTTCAGGCTGGTGCTAAGGACACACAACTACAGACAAACTCACAGCCTAAACAATTTGCCTGATCAGATCTTGGGGATGGAAAGGGTTAACCCAGGTCCTTTGTTTTCCCATTCCATTGGGGGAGGAGAGAGATGCTATGGAAAACCCACCCCAAAACATCCCATATGAGGTCACCCCCCTCCATTCCCTGCAGCCCTGAGCCCAGGCCTGCCCCGCATTTCCTCCTTACCCTGATCTCCAGAGCCAGACAGCTCAAAGTCATCAGGCTCCCGCCCGGGGCCACCAACATCCTCATCGTCCGGCAGGTCTCCGGAGTACTGGCCTCCCAGGAGGTCCTGTGGGTCAATGACCTCTGTTTCCCGGATCTAGCGTGAAGAAAGAAGATGGTATCAACCAACGGTCCCCCAAACTCCCAGAGGGGGACCAGGCCAGGGTCCTGGAGCCCCCTTTGCCTCTGACTTGCTGTGTCCCATCATGGCAATCTCTTTCTGTCCTGTACTAAGAAAGCTAAATCAAGATGGTAACCATCAAATCATGAGTACCCTTATTGCGTAGCGATTCCTTAGCACATGCCACGTGCCAGGCCCTGGCCTTCAATTCCTGACTCACCTTACAACAACCAAGGAACCAGAGAATTAAAGATCTGAAGTCACTTTCTTTTAGTAACACCCCTGGCAGGTGGAGGCGTGAAGCTGGCCCACAGGGCTGCCTGACTTCCCAGCGTGCCCTGGGATGTGATGCTCCTGAGTTCTATGATGTAGCATAGTGGGGGCTGAGTCACACAGGGCAGGGAGCAGGCCGCTGGCTCTGGTCTGCCCCAGCCTGGGGCACCTCTCCCAGATGAGTCATGCTGGGCTAGGACAGAGAGCTGGCTCCTCCACGCCCCAGCACAGCCTCAGGTCAGGATGCTGCCCAGAGCTGGTGACCCAAGAGCATACTCCTGTACTGCAGAGTCTTGTCTTCCCAGCATCTCCCACGGAATTATTCTGCTGCCAGCCCCACACAGGGCAGAGAGAGGGGCACGGCCCCTGCATTCACAGTTCATCCACTCCAGTAGCTGTTCAAGTTACTTGGCCCATTCCTCTACCCAGCTGGTCGAGGCAATCTAGGTCCATCCTGACCAAGCAATTTTCAAAAGGCAAGTACAAGGGCGTGGCATGGTGGCATGGACGTTAAGCTGCCACTGTTGTGCCAGTATCCCACACTAGAGTGTCAGTTTGATCCTGTTCTGCTTCCTCCCCAGCGCTCTCTACTAGCACACCTGGGAAAGCAGCGGAAGATGGCCCAAACACTGGGGCCCAGGCCATCCATGCGGGAGACCCAGGAGGAGTTCAGGCTCCCAGCTTCTCCTAGCCAAGCCCCAGATGTTGGAGCCATTTTGGAAGTAAGCCAGCTGATGGATGATCTCTCTCTCTCTCTCTTTTTCTATCACTCTTTCAAATACATAAAATAAAAATCTTAAAGAGGGCACAAGAACGTCGGGATGCCCATGTGATCTGCTAGCTGCTGGACTCAGGATGCTGTGTGCCCACAGGGCAGCAACCCAAAGCACGGTTCAGTCTGTTATTAATTTGAATGTGCAGTACCTACTGTTTGCCAGAACAATTAGGGTTTTTATTAAATCAAACACCACCCCCACCCCAAACCCCAGCAAGCCTGTCTCATTTTTGCCAGGTCCCGTGACTGCAGGAGGCAATGGCAGGTTAGAACTACAGAACGCCAGCTGGAGGCCCAGTGTTTCAGATCCTCCCCTCTCACAGAACTGGCAAGAATTCCAGGAGAAACAAGACAGCAATATCCCCAAGGTCATAAAGTGAGCTAGCTACACCAAATGGCTAGGTCGGATCCAAAGGGAGACAGGAGACACAGCAGGGAGTCTGAAAGGGCTCTCCTGGGAATCAGGCCCCACTGGCACCCAGGGAAAGGCAGGCAGGCAGGCGGAACCTCTCCCACCGCCATGGGGACCGGAGGCTGGGTGCCCGGAAGGGAGCAGGGTGAAGCTGGGAGGAAGGCAGTGGGCAGGTGGGTGTTCTCGGCCTGGGAGGCAGGAGGGGGCGGGAGGATGCCGGCAGTATGCCTGGCACACATGGAGCAGGGAGCCGGAAGGGGTTAAGCCCTAGATGACTTCATGACTGGGGAATCAGGAGTTGTTGAGCTGCTGGCGTTGGAATTCCAGCCCCCGCACACAGCCCCAGTCCAAGCGGCTTTGGTTTGGCAGCACGGGGCAGGACTTCATGCACTAGTGCCCAGGTCTGGGGGGGGGGAGGGGAGCGGAATCCCTGCACGTCCACCCTCATCTCCGGTTAACCAGGTGACGGGATTTAACCAAGCACTCAGCTTCTTCACAACAGACCCTGTTTCCACAGTGGTGGGCTCAGATGGGGGAGTCCCTTGTCCGATGCCACAGGGCATGAATCACCTGGTTTTTAATCACGTACACACACAGACATGTGTGAGCACACACGGACACAGGGCCACAGGCAGATCCTGTGAAATAGAGGTTAAATCCAAGTCAGGTGATAGGCCACTTGCCAACCTGCCTGGGAAGACAAGCCTGGCTACGGAGTCCAAGTCCTCCAGGCAGGGGCTGGGGATGTGCTCAGGCGGAGAGACCCTTCCCCAACCCTCCCCGGCCACGGGATGTTGGTCCTGCACCTAGACTTTCTCATAAGATGTGAAAGTGCTAAGGGGTCTTTCCAAACAGCCCATGGTTAGGGCACAGACTGGCAGGGCAGCTGTAAATGACCATTTTCCTTCCTCAGAGACATGCGGAGCCTGCAGCAAACCCAAGGCTCGAACCAAGGCTTACCAAGAAATCCAGCTTTGTCCAGGACACCCCAGTCACCCCTAACTATTTTGGTATCAGTTTCCCACCAAGTGAATTGCCTCGGATCACACGGTCTCCCAGAGCTGTAAGACGGTAAAGTCGTGCATAATATTACAGGAAACAGGAGCCTCAGCCTCCCGCTGCAGCTAGGCAGGGGCCTGGGAGGCCGTGCTGACGGGGTGGGGGCATTGAGAAGTGTCTTAGCTCTGTACCCTTGGGGTCCCCCTCTCAGAAGGAGTTCTCTGACAGACAGTAGGCAAGGACTGGCGGCAGGCATCCCTCAGCTTTGCTGCGGACTGGAAAGGCAAGGGCGTTTTTATCATTCCTCGCTTGCTTTTTGGACAACACTTTTCTCAACACAAACGGGCGCCTTTGAAGAAGCCAGGCCAGCCAGCAGCCAGGCCCAGCCCTGACCAGAGCAGCCGCGCCCTGCTGGTTAAAGCTGTGGCGTGCTCTCCTCAGCTCACCCCAGCCCTGCCCAGGCACGAGTGTGCGTGTGTGTGCATGCACAGGCATTGCTCAGGCCCTCAGCTCTCTGTGCGTCTCCGTCCCTGTCACGGTCACACGACAGACACGACCAGCTGGATAAAGCAGTGGGGCTGCGACCCTGCTGGCCCCGTGCCTGAGGAATCCAAATGCCTGCCTGAGACTAAAGGCACAGGGTTCCCCACCCACCCCCTAGCCTACCTGGGAAAGGAAGGGATGGGGAGGGGACAGGGCAAGGTGCTCCTTTGTTCTATAGGTAGGGACACCTGCCAGGAGAAGGTATCTGAGGCCACCGCGCCCAACTGTCTTCTTTTATCACCCCTCAAACAATAAGGAGACAACAACAGGCTTTGCCAAGGGCGCCCAGGCAGCTGGCAGTAGTGTTGGGCTCACAGTCCCCAAGGTCTCCCCTGCTTCGTAGCTTCCATGCCCTCCTCCCTGCTGCTGCCACAGTCTCGGCCACCGCCCCAAAGAGCTGGCAGGTCCACAGGCAACAGCTGTCACTCTGCTTTTGCTCCCCATCGAGTTCTTCAGCCACAGGGCTGTCCCTAATCCATGGTCCCACGGCTCCCGTCAGCAGGAAGAGTCTGGGTGGCTAGAGGACTATCCACTGTGCTGGTCACCAGGATGGGATCTTTCTCACGTTAGTGACACAAAAACCCTGTAGGGTGCTCTACCCATTTTATGGATGAGGAAACTAAGGTTTAGTGGCATCAGGGAGCTAGAAAACAACAGAGCTGGGATTCCAAGAGACGTTTCTCAAGACCAGGATCTAACCACTAGCAGACTTCTCGCTGATGCCCACTCTTTACCTCTGCCCCCTAACCCGACAGCCCACAACACACTGCTCAAGGCCAGAGCTCTGGGCCTCCCCAACTCCCAACCAGGAGTAAACAAAGGTGAAAGTGATATTGCTTAAACAAAGAAACAGAAACTTGGCTGCAGCACCAGGGAGGAGTTCACGGTCAGGGCTTGGTTAACTGTGAGCTAATGAGCGGCTCCCTCAGCCTGCCACCCACTCTTTCTCACCCATTTCTCTCCAGGGGACAAAGGGCCGGGGGAGCTATTCCATCTTGCAAGAGGGGAGATCAGAAGGGTAGTAACTGGGAAACTCAAACTTATGCAGAAGAGGGATGCTATGAACCTGGGCCCCAACTATCAGACTCACAGGAGCGATTCTGGAAAGAGGCTCTCCAATATGGGCCACGACACTGTCCCCTGCTCTGCAACCCTCTCCCCAGATGGATACCACCTGGGGCCACATTACCACCAGGTGAAAATCAAGTCGTAGTCCTAACCACCTGAGCCAGAGAAACCTTCAGCTCTGGAACCCTTTGTTTCCTGTTGTATAATCAGGGCTGGCCACACCTTGCAGGGGGATGCGGACTTAGTGGCATGCATGAGTGTGCAGGAGGGATCCAGTGCGAGCATGGCCTGGTACACAGCAGGTGCTCAAGGAGGAATGAGTATTATTAACCCCCACCTGTCTTCCTCCTGACTAAGGGGATTACTGCTCCAAAGGTCAGAGACCTGGGAGAACTGCACAAGCAGTTCCGGCACTGGAGAGAAGCCGGCAACAGATGCGGATACACCCTGTAAACTGCACAGCAACATGAACCGCCGGGCCTCATTCTGCATTTGGGACAACTAATAAGACCCCTTTGGACTGTCCTGGAGAAAAGGACCCCGAGATGGGCAGAGGCCCGCTGGGGTCACACAGCCTTGAGCACCTGTAATAAGCAGACAAAGAGAAAAACCACTTGTATCTTTCTAGAAGGAGCAAATGGCAGTGAGCAGGGATGCTTGCAATTCTCCTGGGAGACCTGGATCCCCAGAATATTTCCTGACTTGCCTTGAGAACAACCACAAAATCTAGGAGGTCAGAAGAAACCACAGCAGGCCCATCCACGGCCTGGGGCTCCAGCAGTTGAAGGGTTAAGCCAGGTCTAGGAGGGTGGGAGCAGAGTGAGAGAGGAGGTTCCAATGTCGGCTCTGCCTGCCACCACAAGGTCAGGTTACTCTGAACACAATCGGCCTGTACAGAGCCAGGCC